TCCTCTCATCAAACATTGTGCTTTAGTATGGAGAAGAAATCTTTTATCAGTAAGTGCTGAACGTTCCTCATCAGGAAATTAGTTTTCCAAACCTGTCTGATTGTCTGGATAGGTAAGGTTTGTTGGTCTTTATATGATAATTATTCCTGTTTGACTATTTTCCTGTGAAGTTCTTTCAGTAATGATTATTGGTTGTTCTGAAAAGCTTTTTTAGTTGTTTATATGTTAATTTTTCTAAAAAACCTTTCAGATCAGGAAACTCCTACCAAACACTGCATAGAAAACTAGCTCCAATCTTTTACATGTTATTGTTTCACAGCAGACTCTGGAGATAGCGTAAGGGATGAGAGCTTTTCAGGACACACAACAGAGCTTAAGATCCCTAAATTAGTGGCCTGCTTTTTCCATTAGTGTTGTGCTCTGCTGAAATGGCACTGAAATGACTAGATTTTAAACTGCTTGTTTCTAGGACATGATTTATGGACAGTCAGAGTATTTCAGTGGGATCAAGTGGTGAGATACACTGACAAGAATGTAGACATACCCTGAGCTTTCTCAGAAGTCATGACATCTGTCCTTTAGCTCAGATGTTTCAAACTGTTCTGCAGTTTTGTCTGCCTTACAAATGGATAATATTATGGTGCTTGGGAACAGCTATTCCTTAATCATTCTCCGCACAGACATGCACAGTCTAGTTCCTTCCCCCTTGTCTGTCTGAATAGCACTTGCTTCTCCGCTTGTTGCTGTGCGAACTCGCTTGTAGCCAGCTGGAGCCATGACAGCGCTGACTATGCTGTTCAGTGTGAGACAGGATAACAGACACTAATGACTGATCTTTTCTTTGTTTATCACAAACAAAAATCCCAAAGGGTCCAAAACGTTCTCCCTCTTTGGACCAAGCTTCTTCCTCCCATTTCTGTGCTTGTTTTCCTTGCTGGTTCTCTTGAGTGTCAGGCCATCTGCTCCTTCCCCTTCGCTTGGAGAGCCTGGAGCTTGTACAGGTGCTTTCTAAGCTTTGCTGGTGCCTGAAAAATGTCCTGCTGCCACCAGTGCTGCTTTTTGCATTTCGCAGTTCCCAATTTCTTTCTCAGCCAAAGTGACTGGTTTGTAATAAAACGAACTCATAGCTGGGCTTTGTACATTAGTTTTATCACTGAGCATGGCAATGTGCCAAGAGATCCCTGACATATAAACACACTGCTGGTGGGGAAGGAGGTGGAATGGAGGCACAAGCTGTGGAGTAGCTGCAGAACACTTTCAGGAAGGAGACTGCTTCATTCTTCTGTATCACAGAATCATTCAGGTTGGAAAAGACATTTGGGATCATCAAGTCCAACCATCAGCCCTACTCTACAGTTCTCCCCTACACCATATCCCCCAACATCTCATCTAAACGACCCTTAAACACCTCCAGGGATGGTGACTCCACCACCTCCCTGGGCAGCCTATTCCACTGTCTGACCACTCTTTCCGCTAAAATTTTTTACCTAATGTCCAGTCTAAACCTCCCCTATTGCAGTTTAAAAATCACTTTCACCTTTTTTTGATATGCCTACATAGATGTTTCAGGAAATTATGTACTAGACAAATTAAAACCCACACACATTCAAGGGTATAGTGTTTAAAGCACTGATCTGCAGAGTGGGGGACCCACATTTCATGAATCATACGTTAACATGAATCAGGCTATGAAGAAATTTTATTTTTTTTTCTACTCAACATGTTTAATTTATACAAAATGGAACAGCTGTGATAGAAGAGTTTGGATGAAAGTGAGAACTATACCAAAGCTATAACCTAGCAGTGAAGGATCTTACTATGATTTCTGATGAGGTTGCTATACTTTTTTTGTGCAAAACATTTTTCAAGGTTTAGTTTCAGTGCAGAGGTAAAGCACATGCAGTAACCTCACGGACTTTCATGAAACCGAGTGCTTGTTTTCTGGCTGGTACTGATTATTATGCTTCTCACACAGTCTGAAGGGAAATACCCAGCAGGCTCCCATCCCACTGAAGCAGTCAAGAAAACACAGCATGCTATGCAAGCACAGGAGTGTGTGAATTGCAAAATTCTCCCAAAAGAACTATAGAGGGTAGATCTGTCACTTGGAAAGGATCCATGTGATGGTTCAAAGGTCAAATAACAAGAGACTTGAAAACCAAGATCTTTTCTGCTTGTCAGCTATGTAAAATATGCTTTTGTATAAAAGCATGTAAATATTTGTCCAGGATTTGATGCCGTGGCCTCAAAGTTTATCGGTTATTCTTGCTGTCCTTAACTTCTTCTTGCATGATATATGACATACACTTGTCATCACTCCTTTTTCATATTATTCCAGCTGCTCTTTTTTTATTTAACCCTATGTTAATTGGCAGTGGTGACAGAAAATTCAGAATGAAAGCCCAGAGCGTTCATTCTGCTTAGTGGAAATACCAACTCTAAATTTTCTGGCATCTTACATTAAAACAAAAGGAAAAGTAAGAATGAAACATATCACAGGCCAGCATGTCCAACAGTTAGGATCAGAGATTGCAAGATTTTGGTTGAATATTTATTTATGCTCATTTGCTTCTTCACTTGCTGCTCTTCAAAATTGCACAGTGTGACCTAGGAGCTTTTCCACACCTGTACCCAGATTTAGCATATTAAATAGAATACCTGTCATTTTCTTAGCACTGTTCTCTTGACTTTACCCATTGCAAACAGGGGAAAAAAAAAAAAAAAAGAGTCCTGCAGTTTGGTAATCCAGTGTTTGCCAAATTCTTGATATATCATCCTAGTTTATGCCTGCAATACTTGACATTCCTTGTTATTTATTTATCCAAGCACTCCTTAGCACCTGATATCAGACTGTATCAGGTGTAATCACTAAGAGATGCCTAGGCAAACACAGTTATTGGATTAAAAAATGTTATTTCTTAATTATTGTAACTAATGGTATAACTTGAGTTACCGCAGATATACAGTTCTGGAGCATCCCCTCTGCTCACACTTTGGGAATTTACCACACTGACTGCTTACATAGTGCAGAGGTATTCCAAGTCAAATACTCACAAGTCAAGGACCAGTCACTTTACTTCAGTGACTATTATTTAAAGGCAATGTGTGTTATTAAATATAATTTGCTCCTTCATTTTCCTTCTATAAAACTTCCAACCTCATAATTTTCCTCTCACACACTCTGATAAAAATATGAGAGATCAGGTTCACCTTTGCTGTGAGTGGCAGGAAAGAGAGGAGAAGGTAAGCAAAGAGAGGCTGCCCAGGCAGGGTGGATACCCTGCCACAGTGTGAGGGTATGTATGTATGTGCTGTGCTCCCAGGCTCCAGTTTCCTGCACCCCTCTCCCTGACAGCCTCCACTCGAACTGTGCTGCTGTAGTAAGGGAACAAGGGTCTCCTCTGAGCTTGCTTTTGTAATTCACAGGGAACTATAGGAAATGAAATGCCTACAGATTATAAATAAAATCTGGCAGATTATGTTCTTCACTTCTTAGGTAAAATGACAAGTAAATTTAGACTGAAGCCAGAATTAGGAATAACCTGAAAATCAGAAAAACACCTGTGTTTTAATTTGACACACCCTAACATTTGCCTAAATTAAGATGCCATGCCTCCCCATACTAAGCCATTTTAAACCAAACATCTTGGCTCTGCTGAAAGCACTTCAATGCTTTCTATTGTTGAAGCAGAATGCATCAGAAACATTTCTAGCTAATCCAATTGAAAACTATTGAAAATGTAGCTTTCTTTGAACAAGAAGTATTACACAACTTCTTGAGGTTTCAGTTCAAGTTTCACTACATTTGAGATTGCTGATTCAAAACACAGTCACGTCAGCTGAATATCACATCAAGGCCAGTATGACAAAAATAAACACCAGCAGTATAAAAAGGGCAGGGAGGTGAACAAGTTGTCCTTGCTTTATTCTCATAACTTCTTACTCCAGAGCACTTGAGAGTTTGCATTTAAAAATAGACAGAACAAGTATGAACAGAAGTATATGTATGCATGCACATACATGCTGAAAAAAATTATTATTCTGAATTAAGAGTTTGGTTTTTTTCACATGCAATGACTGGAACACAGGTAGCAGGAAAAAAAAAAAAAAAGCTAAATTAGCAGAAGTAGAGATTATTTCTATATATGAATGAAAAGGGTGACATAACTGAGTTCTTAAGTGGTCCACAAAACGGGCAAAGACAGGAAAGACTACCTCAGTATCAGTGGCTTCCACAGGTCTGTCTGCAGAAATGCAGAGCATCTTGTACATGATGCTTTCATTTGCCACGAGTAGTTGGATAGTAACAGATCTACACAGGACTGTGGCATCAAAATGAAGTGATATACATAATGTTTACATATGAAACATTTTGCCCCTTGAGTTCAGGTTCAGAGACAGCTGTTTCTGCAGTACTACTAGTATGAGTGATTGAAACATTCTAAATCTACATCTGAAGCACCCTGCTGAACATTGCCAGGCTTGTATGAGTTTATGTAGAAGGGCAGATGCCTTTTAGACATTATGATTCCTCCAAATTTGACACGGCTGTTATTCGATTCATTGCTCATCAGAGCATTTACTGTGAGTTCAAGACAGGGCACAGGCATACCTAGCTGATTCTCATGGCATAAATGTAATACATGTAAATAGCACTATTCACACATTTTGTATATGTAAAAATAAAAGAGAGATATAAAGGATTCTCTTGCTTACAACTTTTTGTTCACTTCTCTCATTCCTTCCAGGAGTAACAAATTACCTTATTGTTTTTCACTTTGCAGACACTTTTTCTGCCCCTCTGCTTCTGAGATATCAGTCACACTGTTCTTTCACACAGATTAAAACCATTATATTAAACTCAGAACAACTGATCCACACCCAGCTTGAAATTTGCTGCCTTTAAGATCTCAGGAAGCCTATGTATCTAAAACTTTGCCTTGATTTTTTTTTTTTTTTTTTTTTTTTTTTTTTTTAAAATCTTTACAGGTCTTTCCAAGTTTTTCCAGCAACTTTGAGACACTTCATTCAAAAGATATTGGAAAGACAATTGCTGTCTTTGCTACCAAGTTGAAGTAATGGGAAAAGAGGCAAGAACATTAGAAATAAGAAAACACTGCAAGAGGTTTCTGAATGTGTTGTTCTTGATATAAGGTTATGACATAAATAACCTCAAATTATTTGAATCGTATCTATCCTACTTTGCATTTTACTTTTTTGTTGTTGTTGTTGTTGTTTTTTAAACAGAATTATTTAGTGCTTCCTACAGTGTGTTTGGTATTACATGTAACTGACTGCGTTGCTGGAGTGATTGCATCCAGAGGCTGGAAAGCTTTCATAGGCTGCAAAGCAGAACCTGGACAGCTGGGATGCTTGGCTTGTGGTTAGAAGTTGCTCAAGAGGCACATGGCTTGTTAACAGTATGAGGCTATTCTCCGAATCCCACACACACTCTAATCTACACATCAGTGAGTAGGACAACACTAGACCAAACGATGGCTTGGACACCTCTTTGTGAGCCTCAGATGAACTATCACTACAGCCTGCAGTCCAAAATGTGTCATGATGTGATCTGCTGCAGACAAACAGAAGACTAATCGAAATTGCTTGGGTTTAGTTATCTGAGATGTACCTGTGTCGCAAACAGATACCTTTTATTATTCTGGCAGTGGCTGTTAAGGACAGCATCAAACAAGCAATGGAAACGAGGAGGATGTTGCCGGAACTAATCAAAGGACTAATGTTCCAGCAGAGGTAGGGAACAATTTTGAGGTGTAATATAAGAAACATCTGTAACTTCTGATTTCAGTACTTTTGCAAGTGTCTAAGACACAAAACTCCTTCAAGCTGGAGCCTAAACCCGGCTATGACAGCAGCAAATGCAACTATGTGTGTAATATACATGGATTTTCATTAACACCAAATTAAAGATTACAGGAAAGAAGCTAGACAAATAAGCAACAACAACATATTTTAGATATTTTATCTTTCAAACATACAACATGGTATAGTTGTACCAGGGACTGAATAGATGTAAATCTACCATGGAGTCCTAAATCAGTTACACTGAGGTAACAGGAATATCCTATCCCAGTTTCCTGACAACCAGCTAATACAAACACAAATAAATAATACAGAAGCTAACCGAGAATGTGCAACAGAATTCTACTTAAAGTTCTTTTCTAGAACAACTATTTTTTTTCCAAAGATTTATATGTCATCTTGGTAGCTGGATGTCCTGGTGGTTTAGAGGAGCATCTAGCTGGAACACTTAGATAATTCACAGAAGTAACTCAAGAGACCTTCAAGATGGCATCTGCTCTCTCCTCAATATATTCTGAAGAATGCTAGCTGAGTTCACTGCAAGCAGACAGATGTCTGACTTGGCACGTTCTCGTCTGAATTTGATATGCCATAAATCATATCATGGTGATCAACCATCACATCATGGTGGAAAACCTGTGGAACTTTCCACACCTGGTATTCCTGACCAGTGGCCAGGAAACAGCCAGCTGAGGAACAGCTGTGTGGATGATGAAGCAATTGATTATTATGTGGTAAAAAAATGTATGCAAGCCAGAATCTTGCTGTACAAAAGTTTCAAATAAGTTTGGCCTAAGTACTGGACCACTTATAAAAATGAGTTTAATTTTTCCATTTTCTACTGTCTCACCTATTGTATCTTGTACCAGGTGAGAAATCTAAGCTCTCTCCCATTCAAATTCATATTTCCCTTACCAAAACATGATAATCAGACACTTAGTTTCCAAGGCCAAGTGCTAGGACTGTTTTTACGAACAAGTAAGCTGTGTGGGAGATGTTTGACAGGCAGAGTTTCACTTTTCTTTCTGAAATATGTGAACAGGAAGTATTATCCTCAGTTTAATTCTGGAGAATAGGATAAGTGGAAAAAGCAATGGATTTCTTCTATTCAAGAAGAGGAAATGGAAGGTGAGGCTTTCTAGCAGCAGTAGAATAATTTTTGATACTAAGAGCAGTTGGTATCTTGACAGAAGTATGCAGGGTTTTAATATGCCAGTTTGCCAGTCCCAGAAGAAAGGTGAAATTGCAGTTAGAAATTCGTTGAAGCCAAAGTTATAGCCAGCTAAGGCAAACGGAGGATATGGATTCAGTTGATTAACTTAGTACACTAAAGCAAATCTGAACAAAAAGCCTACAAAAGAAACAAACATGAGCTTGTTCCAGCTGCCTCCTCTGTCTGAAGATACAGGTCCTCTTTGTGCTGCTGGTGCAGATCTGAAGAAAAGAAAACAAACAGGATGTTCACAGCAGAGAGCTGAGTTAGGATTCTTTTAAATATCAGAGGTTTGTTGCCAAGGGTGAAGTTTGCAGCCCAAGTGCTAAGCTAGAAGTTTCTTTATAAGAGCATGCCACCACATTCCCTTTGGCTGTCATGATTTTATAAACAGGATATCTGTGCAAAACCCTGGGAATGCTCCTTTCTATCTTAATACCTGAACCTCCTTGTCACTCCACATACATTTACTGTCTCTGGCCTTATGCTTGAGATTGTATAGAGCTCTTCTAGACAGCAGTGGTCCTAGAGATCTGTATTTTACACAGCACTTCATACAACAGTATCCAGATCCATTTCCAAATCTCCCCGACACTGCAATAACGCAAGTAATAAATACCGTTACTAATATGTTGCACCCGGCTTCCTTTCTGCTTATGTTTGTAAGCCATCTATGCCATCTAGTGGGTATTTTTTTACTTACAAGTTTTCTTTAAACGGGGTGTCAATTTAACAAGCCAAAGTTCAAATTTTGACTCAGCAGGAACATAGTTCAAGTCTGGAGAGGAGTTGAGGGGCACTATCACTATGCAAGCAGCCCCAAGTACATTACAGCACCTTCTAGGTCACAGCCTGACACAGCCCTCTCCTTTGGTATGTCAGGGTAACAGGAGTTTCAGTGACAAAACATGTCACTTCCACAACTCTTATGTGTTGGGGCTCAGGACGTTATTCTCTGGAGGCTGAGAAGGCAGCTATCAGTCTTATAACAGCAAATAGTCCTGCAAAAGGGGATGTAACAGAGCCTGCATGTGTAGTCTCACTATTTATTATGGAAGTATGAACACTGAACATACACTGAGCGCACGTGCTCTGCAAACGAACCTTTTCCTAACAGATACATGCTCTTAAGAGTGATACCACTACTGACCAAACTGTTCCCATGTCAGTTAATGGACCATCAGAGAGCGGGGATCCATCCACAGAGAAAACAGATCTAGAAGATAATCATCAAATAATTTATGTACATCTGCTTATGGCTCTTTCTGAAAGGGCAGCTAATTTCAATGGAGATGTTTGTTACAGCAGACAAGTAAGTGATTTGGGGAAGAGTGTAAGTATTCATTGGCTTGAAGTATTTCAGCTACTTAAATTTCAGGGGAGGCAATGACAGCATTCAGATTGGGAAGCTCTGTCTTGATTAGGGATAGCGTGGATATGAAGTGAATCAAGGCTATTATATTGCCATGCATACAGGAGGGAATAGAAGATTCAGGAAGGAAAGACGCAAGGAAACTTTTCCTAAGGAGGATGATAACAGCTGAGTTGCTTAGTAGTTACCCCAGGAGAGTATGTGACTGGTGCTTAGAATACAGTAGTGATTATGTTAATTTAAGTACCAGCATGGATGGAAAGGAAGGGGTGCCTGCTCCCCTGCTTACATACTGCAAGTGCTATGTGGTAATGGAGAACTGGTATGGTCATCTCTTAGGTGATCAAAAAAGACATTAATGGTTTCCAAAAACTTTTCAATCTACATTCCCTCAGGTGAGGAATGCACCCACATCACAAAACTTTGAGGGAAATGGTTTAAAACCTGGGAGAAGAAAAAAAATCTGTTAAAAGTTCACAATTTTATATTTTTTAAAGTCCTGTAAAGTGCTTTTTTCTCCAGTTTGTTAATATTGTCACCACATTCACAGTTGTGATTTTTCATGGGACAACTGTATTTTCCTTTGACACATGAACAAAAGCCCTACCATTCACTGGCAGAACAAGGAAACCCTGTTTTAATCCACTATGCAAGTGGTACCAAGTAACAAACAAATGCCTCAAAAGGCCTGGAAGCCTGTTCTATGATCTATGACCTAGACGGAGTCTGGAAGTATCAGTGATATCTATTCATCACGCATTTATAGGTTGGTGCTGGGATATAATTTGGGTATAAGAAGAAATGTTGTTGCATGACAAGATGAGTAAAAGTTTTCAGTGACTAGCAGGAACAGAGAATACTCACTTTCTAAGGGTGTATTAAAAACTGAACATATGCTACAGAAAGTCATATACACCCCCTTTTCTACACTGCACGAAGAACTACTGCCACACAACCAGAGACAGGAAAGCAGGAGTTGCATCTCTGCTGCCATAACCAGGGACAGCAAGTTAGGTTATTCATAGCAGAGGTTATTACAGCAGTATTAAATAGGTATTAACATACAAAAGATTTGCAGGTGCTTGAATAGGGCAGAAAGGACAGTAGGAGATAGGATGTGGCCAAATGTATGGATTATGCATAAAAATATAACTAGAGAACAACTCTTATGCATCTATGTATCCTGCAACTTTCTAAACTGTGAGGAAGTTTTGATATTTAATAAATTTTGATATGTAACGTTCAAACACGTTATGTGTACCTATACATGCAACAGCATATAGATTAAGAAACAGCCACAAGTGAAAACAGTTGTCTTTACTGTAAATTCATTGAAATACATAATAATGAAGACAAATATGGATAGGAAGGGAAACTATTAAAACCTAGTTTGGGAGTAATGCTTGCTAATTAAGAAAGTTGTATCTTGGATATAATCTGCATTCTCCAGAGACAACCTACTGTCCCAAGGTAAATACATTAAAATTGAGAAATTGGGTTTGCACACAAAATGGAAGATTAAAAAAAAACTTCCTCAAAATTTGGAATTGAAAGTTCCAGTAGCTGGAGAAATGTCCTTTAGATCTGCTGCCATTTGGCCTACAATTTCATTATTCAAGGAAGAATATTAATTAAAGCAGTTTCAAACTTGTAATAGATTTTGCATCAGAACACTGATATTTACAAACCACATTCATAACCATCAGTGGTACACAGTGTGATTATGTGATTGATGAGAACTAACAGGTGCTCACAGACAATTATGCACAATTTGTAGATAGAAACTGTTCACTTAATACACAGTAAGTAATAAATTCAAGAATACTGTATATAGCATATGAGTGGTATATAACAGATGATAGAGGCAGAATCTCTTGAACTGTTGACTTCTGCATATTTATTTGGTTGTAATGACATCGAGGATGGATTGAACTTCTTTTACTTACGATGAAAAGGTACACTTAGAGTCATCAGGATAATCCAGGCAGAGTAAGAACATTACAGATCTGTAAAGATACAATTTTATTTAACATTTTTAATCAGAAAACTAAGAAAAACAAATGAAAAAAAGAAAAAACTCAAGAGTATTATCATGTCTAAAGCATCTCTACAATTATATTTATCTTACAATCTACTGTGAATAACTAGAACTGCGAATACTACTGTGAATAACTGTAATTCTGCAGACATACAATAGCATTTTTAACTGTTGTTTAGATTTTCAATCCAAATAAAGATTTTAAAGTGAAGTGGAATACCCAAGGCCATTTTCTGTTTCTGACATTGGGTAAATACAATGTTCCACTTAATTATACAATTCTACAATACACTGTAGACTTTTGCTCAATTCACAGCTGAAAAATGCTAAGTCTGAAAAATGTGACATCACCTTTCCAACATACCGGTTTCTTACTGAAGGCACAACATTAACGGCACTTAAGTATTGGAAGTTAAGAAACCCCTTAAAATAGATGAGGTGCTTCTGCAAATACACCATATTAATGAAGGATTTTCACTTACTTGTAATTATCAGTGCAGGTGACATCATAACCAAGGGTGCTCAGCCTGTTTTCCAATACATTTACAGTATGAGTTCCACAGGAATCTCTGTGAGAAGGATTTTAATATTATTACAAGTCTTTTATTATCTCATTTCCTTTCACTGAACTTGATGGAATTAGTATAGTAAAGCCACATTACTTTGTTTCTTCTATATTCCTTAACACCTACAGAAAACTGGTGTACATTGCTATTTATAGTGCTTCAGTTGCTTACAGTTGTTTAACATTTTATACTCAGTTTGCAGTGACTGGAAGATTGGCTTCAGCCAGTGTAGCACTTGCAGATTCTATTAACCAATATTCCCACCTTTAATATTTCACTAGACAAACAGAAAAGGAGCTAAATGATTTTGTAAAACAATAAGTGTTTCCTCTGTAATATTCTTTGGCAGCTATTTAGGTGGTGCTAAAGTTGGTTATAATAAATTAGAATTATTCCTGTTAGAAGCTTGTCCTCTCTCTTGTATACAAAACAACAGAAAAACACAAGGAGAGAGAAAAAAAAAACCAGAAACAATCTTAAATACAGCTTCTGTGTCTAGCACTGATTATTTAATTTGTGGTCCAATTAGCAAAAGAAAGTTTAGCATAGTATAGAAGCTACTGAGACCTCTAAAACTTGCACCAACGTCAAAGTATGAAGGCCAGTGTTACTTACCCACTGGTCAGTAAATACTCGTGACTGTAAAGAAATCATATGGGAACCAAAAAAATCATTGTAAAAGGCAATTAATAAAAATACACAAATATTCCCTTGCATCCATTAACTGAAAGATAAATTAACATTCAGTGTTTGTCTTAATTTTTCTTTGTAATAAGGGCAACTTGTGCAAAGGTGAGCTGTATGTTTGTTTCCAAAAGGATAAGATTCTTTGATTTAAAGAGAAAGGCTGAGAAACACTGACCTGAACTATGATTCGTAGACTCCACAGCACTATGGTAAAATCATAGAATCACAGAATGGTTTGGGTTGGAAGTGACCTTTGAAGATCAGGACTCCAGACCTAATATTAGAACTTATATTTTGTCTAATTCTGGTATTTCTATACTCTTTGGGAATGACAGGGTGTGTTAGTGAGAGCATCTAAATTGTTTTTAGTTTAATTGCTATGCAAATATAATCAAACAGAAAGCTAAGGTGAAATTCTAAAGACAGGTCCAAAAAGGAAAAAAAACATTTTTTTTGAAGATGTAACTTACATATCTGGTCCTTCAATATCATCCACAACCCAGATGACAATTTGGGAGATTTTGTCTTTCTGTAGATTAGGTATTTCATAATCTGCAAAAAACCTGATTCAAGAAACAAATTTTTACAACTATGAAGGACATGAACAATAAACAATCTTTTTTCTGTTTGCATTAATGAAGACTGTGATCCTGCTGGACGATATGGGCTTGCTTGATTTTACATTTGTATCTTCTGATTACAATCAGACTCAACACAGAGTAGCAAAAATCAAGATTCACATTCTGAATGTCCTCAAAGGTCAAAGGCATTTAATCAGAAGTTTTGTTTTCATATTCTTCATCTTAGAGGGGCTCAGCTGAAAAAAAGGTACAACTTAAGAGGTGAACCAGAATGAACAGAACTTTAAAAAATGCAAAACCAAAACAAAAACATTTTGATACTTAGTAGAAAAAGAAAAAGTTCATTCTTGTAGTTATTGCTTTTAGACACAATACAATTTTGCTTTAAATAAAAAAATAACAACAGCCACAAGACAAATATATTTTTAGGTACAAAATCACAGCAATAGTAACATGAGGTATTTGTCTAGGATATACTAGACTATAAAAGAGAAACTTCTACATATGTCCATCCCTAGCCTAGGGAATCTTGTAAATTGACTTTGATCAGGATTTAAATAACAATTAAAACAAGATAATAAAAAGCATCTAAATCATAGAATCATAGAATGGTTTGGGTTGGAAGGGACCTTAAAGATCATCTATTCCAACCCTCCTGCCCTGGGCAGGGACACCTTCCACTAGCCCAGGTTGCCCAAAGCCCCGTCCAACCTGGCCTTGGACACTGCCAGGGAGGGGGCAGCCACAGCTTCTCTGGGCAACATGTGCCAGTGTCTCACCACCCTCACAGTGGAGAATTTCTTCCTAGTATCTAATCTAAAGATGCCAAATCCAAAGGACTATTTTAATGTCTGTAAATTGAATTTTTTTGTGCAATGCAAGCATTTCAAATCCATGGATTTTTAACCCTTCCACCTTTGATTTCCACCTTTTCATTGCTGTTTGTTTTTTTTTTTTTCTCCCCTCAGAAAGCTTATAAGGGCTGTGTCCACACCGAAAGCTTGGTCCAAGCCTAAGCCTATCACGGCTCTTCTTAAATGTCTACATCTGGACTGCCATGTCTCTTAGCCACTTTAAATGGTTTGAGACCTCCCAGGCTAGAAGGGGTATTTGTCACCTCCTGGATGAGACCAGCAGTGGCAAAGTGACCTTTGCTCTGTCCTCCTGGTGCCTGCAGGCAACCTACTGGTGCTCTGGCATGGAAGCACAAGATGTATAGTGGTTGTCAATGTCTGTTGGCAGCCAGCCAAGACCTGTTCATGAAGTTAGAAAGTTAACTTCAACTTCTGGAGAAGTAGAACCTGAGGGGGTGGATACCAACAGTTGTCCTCTCTGGTCAAGTCTGGTATGGCAGTGGCTAGTCAGAAACCAGTAGCAGCAACAGCAGGTTTGCCTGCCTGTCCAGGGTATCCAAGCCTGTCTTAAACACATAGTGAAAATATAACCAAAAATAAAAATTCCAACTATTTTTAACTCATTTGCTCATTCATGCATATATTATTGCCAACAAAAATGCAGCTTCCTCCAAAATACGAATGATCTTTAACTAGGGGAGTCAGAAACTGTGAAGAAACAACGTACAAATGACTTCAGTAAACCAAGTGATATTGTGAACCAACTAATATTATTAAAGAAGTCTACCAACTACATTCATACTGTGTGAATGAGCAAAGTTATTTTGCAGTGAAGTGAGAAATTTATCTTAACTGAAATGGTAACAGGTGACAATGATGATTTAAGTGTACGAACTGTAATGCATAATAAATGGTTTTGAAATGCTTGAAAACAGACCAGAGAGATGTTTAGGAAGACAGGTAGACCTCTCAGATTACCTTCTGCTACCAATTATCCAACCCAAAGTCTCTTTCAAACAACATCTCTTAAGCAAATTCAGTCATAAATGGACCAGAAGATATACTGCAAAGAAAACAAATGGAGTAACTGGCTTTGTTTTTTTCTTGGCAGGCTGTGTTTCAGTGGTGGAGATTTCACTGGTCATGATACCTCCAGACAGGCAACCCAGGGAACCGATAAAATTAATTTATGTGTAAGAGGTTTCTGAAATAAGGAATCTTGAAATTAACAGAAACAAGGAATCTGTTTGTAAAATAAGGATTCTATACTGGATTCTGGGCATTGACCTGCTGCCAGGTATTATCATCTACGAAGACTTGATCCTAGGTGACCACCTGACCAACCCAAGGAGTCTTCCTGATTAGCTGAAAGCTGTGTACAGAGATGGACATTTGGGGGGATGGAGGTAAGTAGGTAGTAGGTGTTTTGGAACAGATGATTCTTGTTTCTCTCCTATCTGGAGATAAAATTAACTTTTCAATTATCATTTTTAGTCCTCAGTGAGCACACAGGAGGAGTATCTGCTCTATGGGTTTTTAAAAGGGTTTTTTTGATCTGCCTTGGACAGGATAGTTGATGAGGTAAGGAAAAATGCATTTTTCATCAAAGGTAGGCAGTCACTACAGCCACATATTTAGTAAAAGACCTTAAGGGTGTACTTTTACAATAAATTTAAAATGTATTCTTACATGAACTTCTGCATAGCTGTACACTTGTAAAGAAAGATACATCTGTCCTTAATATACAAGGGAATAAGGAGAAGAGGAAGCTAATCCTTGCTATTATCATTCTCAATGGAGCTTTTTAACTTTCTTAAAGCATAATGGATCTCAAACTAGCAGGACAAAGCACCTTCCCTATAGAACTTAACGCGTTTGCTCCTAGGCCTAACAGAGGCTACACTTGTAACCACGTCCTCTCCTTGAAGATGGCCCTGAACAGAAATTTTGTAATGATCCTGTTTTTGAAGACATACACATTTTGCCACAGTATGTTGGCTGACTTGAAGGCTGCTTTCAAAGTGCATTTATCCTGCTTGCCACAGTGGTTTGTAAAATGCAGGAGTTAAAAGGATTGTTTCCATCCATTTCATGTTAATTCCTACAGCTGGGGACAATTATCAGTCATCCCCACAACTCAGCAGACTTTGATGCAACAGGCTCTTTCAGATATGCTTCCCATGCTTTGTGTAGCAGAAGACCCAAACAACTGGTTGGCCCTTTTTTGCAAACATCAGACCTTGTACACATATATCAGTTTTCTTACCCTGGCTGTGGATAAGCTCCTCCGTCTGCAGAACCATTCAACAAGACATGTATTACTCCAGAACTGTGTTGCGCATACTGCAATACATAATGATTTTTGCTTAGAAATCTTACAGATTTGTCACATGACTTGGTATTGTATTGCAAACAACAATGACCAAGGAAAGACTTTTACCAAGAAGAATATCAGAATTGTGAAAATAATACCAAACTAGCACCCTAGCAGGTCATGCAGTAGAGAGGACAACTAAACAGCCAATGTATTAATTCAATGCATTTTCTTAAACTATTTTCTCACACTTTAAATAGTTTCTTCAGCATAAGAAGAAAGCGTTTTGGCACTCTGTGTTGGGTTTGATATGTGAAAAAGGGTTTCCACCAGGCCTGTCAAATGTCACTTAGGATCTGTATTCAGGAGACAACTAGTGTGCTTATTGTACTTAGCATATGCTTAATATATATTAACAAAGCTCACACAGAATTTGAACACATTATCTAGCTAAGGTGAAAGTTAGGTTCCTCTTGCAAAAACAGTGTATTTGTATCAGAGGAAATAATCTAGCAGAGTTACAGACTTAAATCTGTTTTGATCTGGCGACGTTTTCCTGAACCACCCAGGACACACTCACTAATGTACGAAGTCAGCACTAATGCACTATTTACAGTGATTGAAGCCATCCTCCAGAAAGATTCCACTGCGTTGTTTTCACACTCCTCTGTGGTAGGGCAGGATTCATAGTCCAGTCCTGTAGGAAAGCATGTGATTTTTGCCATTAGACATAATGACAGTAGCAAGTGACCTTAGAAAGCAATTAAATATATTTGTGCATTACTCACTGAACATATAAGAAGGTCTGACATAACACTCAAAGCTGACAATTGTTATTTTCTTCTATCATTATCTATCCGTTGCAGTTTACATGAACAGTGACATTCTGTGGATTCAATAATTTGGCTGAAATGACTCTTAACTCTATACCTGGGATGCAGAAAGCTCCATGTTCAGAGGACTGAGAAGGAGGTTTATCTCTTGTGCAATGCTGTTTAGATTTCACTGTGTGCTCCCCTGACTGCAATGTTAAATATTCACACAAAACAGGAGAGAATGAGACAGTGAAGCTATTCCTGATTTTTCATGTGGTAAGATCAAAATAAGCTCCTCCAAAACACAGTAGTCAGCCTTCATTATGGTTTTACAGACAGATGTTTAATATAGCACTTATCGTCTTACCAGTGCTGTTTGCCTGCCCACACCAGTTTAGAAAATCTCCAAGGAAGCCAAACAGAGTATCAGCCAGAGACATGTAGCGACGGCCTCTATCAGCAAAGCTGTTGACTAGCAGCTGATTATTTTCCCAGAAGAGAGACTATATAAAAAAAAGGAAAAAAAAAATAGAGAAGAGATGAACCATCACTTAGGCATGGACACAATGAGATTATGGGGTGTTGAAAACAGTTTAAAACATGTTTTGGTATTTATTTCAAAATCAAGCTAATAACCAGAAATTTTAGCTATCTCTTTAGAGGAACACAGTTTTAGTTTTTTACAGTGGTGTAAATTCTTAGAGGCCTGAAGGGCATTCATACCATGATGGGAATGGACATAGATCTGCATTAAATATAGTTAGGCCTAGCTTTGCCTTCCTCAGCAGACAGGTTTAGGAAAAGGGAGAAAAAAAGGAAGACAGATACTTATAAGCCAGATATATCTTATCAGAATTCTCTCACACTGCTATGTTGGTTTATGGTGTGAAAAAAATCATACCTCTAGCTGTTATTTCTGTGTTTGCAAAACTCTTTCATGAATTAAGATACGTTGACAGGAGTATTTACTGGTTTAACTTGTATCATTTAGGGATAAGGAATAATTATGCTAGAGGAAAAACTGCTTTAAATCACAACCTTTTAGAGAAGGTCAAAGCACACATTCTAATGGAATATGATGGCGCAGAGACATGGTTTTTGCACTTTCACAGTTCTCTGCAATTACCAGCACATCAAACCCTTACTGTTTTCTAGCATATAATGGTGTCCTATCTTACTTCTGCTTATGTCTAACATGTCATTGCCCTGAGACTTGGCTGTGAAGAGTGGAAGCAAAAGATGATAGCAGGTATAATTTTTGCAGACAGAGCACATAACTTGAGGAAAAGTAAAAGTGGAAATTCAGGGACTATGACAGAGCTCCTGGCACAGCAGGAAAAATGGAGGATCTTTGTAGTATGAGAATAGAGAAGCTGCTGAGAAGTTACCCCATAAAATAAATGCAGCCAAACACATTGCAAAATGCCAGCAAGCCTAAGCTTAGTTTGTAAACTACAGACAGGCCAAAAATAATGAATTATGAGTCAGCCACAGAATGACTCTTGGTCATTTTTGAACTGTATCATGGAAAATCTGCTGGATGTCACAGGACTGTTAATATAACATTAATAATCATTACCTTGTTAGGTGGAATTGGGTGAAAAGACAGGTTGATGAATAATTCATAGTCCTTAGGTAGAATGCTGCAAGGATCTTTGTTAATAAATGCATTTTTAAACGCTTCCCATATCTCAGAACAATTCTTCTCACTGTAATCATTGAAAAAAACAAATAGCAGAATTGTTTTTTCAAAGCAGAGCAAGAAAGTAGTTTGTTCCCAACTTCTTCAGATTTCCAAATTAAAACTGCTACAAGGGTAAGATAGAACACTGAAGTCAGGGTGGTACAAAACTTTCAACCCAGGAAAAGCATATAGATCTTTTCTTTTCCTGACTCCTAACAGCAGCTAAGTAGGAAGTAGCAATGAAAATATTAGGATTTGCAGTGTGGAATTAAAAATACCTAGCAATTCAACAAAAATCTTAGAAGGTACAGTAATACACAGTGAGCTTGCTATCTAGCACTGTAGAAATACTAAGAAAAGTTATTTTTGAAATTTTCCAGATTCAAAAAGTCATTTCAGTTAAAGCATAGCTAAATATGCAAGGCTACTGGAATGTAAAATTACTCCTAAAATGTTAAGATTCAAATGCAGGAGGAGTTACGAAAAAGTTTCGATGGTAGAGTAACAGTTTTGACAGAGATGCCTTCTGTCTATACAGGCCCTAGGATTACGTAGCTTTACCTTGCTGGAATGAGTACAGTGACTGTGTGGGACATGTACTGTCATTGTGCAGTAGCTACAAGAACACTGTTAGGATTCAACATTTAAATTGCTTGTGAGAGGAGGCCTTAAGTAAGATGCTAGGCTGTGCACTTCAGCAGTTCCCTTCTGCCTGCTCTGCCTTGGGGCAATAATCTCCCATGGAAGGCCAGGCCATCTAGGGACAACTGTACAGACCTATGTCTCCTTCTGCTAAAGAGATGTCTACTGTAAGCACTCATTCATGCTAGTGCTTGTAAAATATGATCAACTGAACTCTTAACATCTTCCTTGACAGTTGAATCCAGCAGTAATTTTCTGGTTAATTCACTTACTGCATTTTTTTCTTCAAGTCTTCTCATCCAGGTTTGAAGAGCTTGTAAATCAAAAGGATTATTCCGCTCTTACTCAAAATTTTTTAGCTGGCAAAAATACTTCTTGAAACTTCAGGGTGGGGAAGGACTGTTCCTTCTAATCTTAATAGACACTAATAAGTCATATTAGATTTAGTTCATACCAGTCAGTTAAAAAAAAAAAGTTTTCAAAACTTCCATTATATACTACCAATAAAGAAATATGGGAGAAATGCACTACAGTAACATTTGTGTTACATAGCATACTCCTACTAGCAAATTTCAAATATGATTTTCATTCAAATCTCTCACTTCTACATGACCACAACATTTTGTAACATGCCTCTTTATACTGACATTTTGCATGTTCTGTTTTAATGTAAAGGAAAGTTTTTCTTGTGTTCCTATAAACACCTTTATGTTTTAACTATGTTGCAGTGTAAAGACAAGGCTTGCTAGCTTCTTTTCTTGTTAGCAAAGTATTTTTAAAAAATTATTCTATTTGCTTATAAATCCATAAGCAAAACATATCCAGGTGGCTATGCCTCTGTAAAAGCTAGCCTGGGGGCAATTAAGAAACAGACAATGAACAGAAAGGGTTATAAATAATTAGAATATCTGTTTTGCACCTGTGCAGTATGAAATTTCAATTTTGTTTAGATTACACGATCTGCTTATAAACCCTAAGGGAAAGAGAAAAAAAACACATAATATGAAATTTATTGTGCAGCTCTTCTTTCTATAATGCCATTTTGGGCCTTAATTCAGGAAAGCAGTCTAATGTCCAGCCTGGCTTTATGCTCCTCTGAGTAAGACCAGTTTGATAAATGGGTTCAGACTTGTCAATTTTAAAATTATATTGTGAATTATATTGTGCACAGAAATCTATAGTTAAAGCTTATTGGCACCTTCCACTGTGATGTGTTTATAAATTTGCCAAACTTAAAATGTTCAGCTGGAGTTTTAGTACCATGTTAATGGTATTATGATGATTTTTACTTTCATGGGGAACTTGAACAAAAACACTTCTGATAAATTAAGAATATTATTAGGAAGAAACATGTTGGTTTGCTTTTGTTAAAAGCCATGAACCTGTTTTCAGTCCTGTATATCCTGTTTTGCAGAAGGAACTGAACATGGGAGGTTGCGGGAAGGAGATGATATTTACTGATATTATGCAACATAATTTAACCCTGTTTAAGTTTATGATTCAGTGCTACAGGAACCCAGCCAGACCCCCTCTGCAAATACCTCTTCAAACTATCAGTAAAAATTTTAGTGGCAGAATAAAGGAGTGAACTCCAAGAGACTATCCTTAGTTTTTTTTCCTTTTTACCAAAGCCCAAACAATGTAAGGAAGACTGAAAAAGTGTTTGGTTGAGTGTGATTTACCTCCAGTTCTGTGTAATTAACACTGACAATGAAAGCTCATGGGTAATCATACTTCAGCAGTTGATTACTGCTTGATTTTTCAGGTGGATGAGCTAAACAGCATCTTTCAGTAACCACAGGATAGCTATAAAGTGTGGTGCTTTCCTTCTTACATGACCTGACCTACAAGGCACGCAAAGTAATGCTGCTTTTCCCAGGAGCACTGTCAGATTTGGTACTTTAGAAACACCATCCCCACCATTTCTGTCTGGTGTTCTCCTTACAGAACACTGTGGCACAAGGAGGGGAGAAATGTGAAATAAAAAGTTGAAGGATTAAAAATCTTGCCTTAATTACACTACTTTTATTAATATGACATCCATCAAAGTTCAATTTCTGTTTCCACATGGCTACAAGCGTGTTGGCTTCAACAGGATCACTTTCATGGCTAGGAGCAAAAGTTTAGGCTTCTGATTAATAACCATTTTGTACAGAACATAAAAAAACTAATCCAGAAACAAGCAAAACTTACCCAACAGCAGGATTCACAAGTCTAATATAGTCATAGCATCTTCCAATGACAATGCTTTCCAGGTTTAGCGTTGTACCTTCACCTTTCCATTTTTTCCCCTGCACTTCTAATAAGCTGTTCATAAACAGGACAGAGACAAGTAACAGAGACAAACAAAGGCTCTTCATCATGAATTACTGACAACCCAAGTTCTTAAAAAAAAGGAAAAAAAAAAAAAGAGTTAACTGATACAGTTTGGATGGAAAACTGAAGGCTTAAGTAATATTTTCAATACTGGCTATAGCTCTGTACACAAAAGACGAAGTTAGACGGAAATCTGAACCTTTCTGGGGACTGTAAACTAACTGTTTCCTGGAACGGTTGCACAAGGATACATCACTTCCTCATATCTGTTCCCACTTCAGAAAAACGAGACTTTTAAGGTCATGATATTGCCACCTGGTGATAACTGCGAAGAATTACAGTATATTTCAGTAAAGGGATTTTAAAAAACCCTTACCACTTCAATATTTACAATGCCTTAGGTTTGCTTGGTACTCACTGTCTTGCTATACCTTCTTAAAACATCACAAATGCTTACAAGCAACATGTTGTAAACCAGTTTCTTTTCGTTTTAAAAGGGCTATATTTTTTGCACACATTTCTCTAATGGCTGAAAAAATGCTGAAATACATATCAAAACAAAAAAAAGTTTGAAATATGCAGGTAAAGCAATGATTGCATAAATACCCAAATTCTCAGTTGATCTTGTACCACATGCAGGGGTAAGATTAGTCAGCTTTTTTCCATCTCTCCCCTGGATACTGACAGCAACATTTTGGTGCAATGATACGTGTTTTAAACTCTTCTTCATGAACAAAAACGCCTTGCAGGCAGGAATCAATCATAACAAGAACTACAAGGATTAAGATATACTTACTGCAAGTGTACTTGTACTGAAGAAATCTCTTCAACTTCTGTTTACTCTTACTATCCCTCCAGCTTCTTTTCCTTAAGTACTTTGTTGGATCATTAAATGGCATCAATTAATCTAATCTTCAGTGTAAATATTCTGTGGTGTATGTTGCTGCAAATACAATCACACTATTTTTTTCCCTTTTAAGAAAAAAAAATATTTCAACCTTAATTTGTCTATGGACTCACATTTCTGAGGAACATGATGGTTCTTTATCTATTAAAGTATCCAAGCCTCAGTGAATACATACATCTTTATTATTTATGTACTTATTTATATAGTGTCATTCTTACAATGATGCACTGGTACTCAGATGATGGATTTTGCTGAAGGCAAAATCTTGCTAATCATCAAGTAAATTGCTGACGATGGATTTCTCCCATAAATGTGATAGAAAGATAACCAGTCAGTTTGTTACCTGCAGGAGAGTCTTCAGGAAACACAGATTTACCCAGAAAGGGATGTGCAATGTTGTGCTTGATATGGCAGAGACACAGCAAATGCTGTACTTCAGTTACTTCTCTGATGCTTTTTCCTCATATTTGTCTGATTAACCTGTCTCAAACATGGACATCCTGATAGGGCACCAGCACATTAATCGAATGGTTTCAAGTCACTGTTTTGGGTCCAGGATTAGAGTGCAGTAATCCATAGAAGTTAATGTGGTTTGGTTTTTTTGTTTGTTTTTTTTTTATTACCAACTTTTCTGAAGATTTTGCTCAGTAATTTCAGGGCTAGCAGAAACCAGAGGTATCACTGATGTGATCTTCTATATAGAACAGGGCAGAAATTATCATCAATTTTTACATCGAGACTAAAACTTCTGCTTAAAATACACAGTGTAAGTTGAGGACTCATCAACTTTGAGAAGAAGACGTGGGTGCTGCTCAGTTGTGTTTTCCAAAAAGGAGATGACTTCTTCTAACAGCCCAGAGGGAGTGGAAATGAGTCCAACAACTTGTGAGATCCCCATCTCACCCCCTATTGAGCTCCCTTTACTCACTAGCCACTTCTAGAAACAAAACATGGAGCCAGAAGGGCCTCTGATCTGACTCAGCACAGCCATTTTTAATTTATGTTCTTAGTTTTGATTTAAACACTTCACATGATGGCTAACTAACACACCTCCAGGGAAATCGTGCCAATGGTTTGAGAGTCAAACCTTAGCTCTGGCCTGAACTTGTCTACTTTTAGCTTCCAGTCATTGGATCTCATGAAGTTTTTTTCTGTTACATTAATGAAGAGTCTACCCTCAGAAATCTCTCTGTGAAAATACAGTAGAAAATGACCAAGTCTCCCCTTAAACTTGTCCATGAAAAATTCAATATTTTAATCCCATTATCAGGCACTTTCTTTTATAGCATTGTACTTCACTGTCACGAAGTGGCTGCCCATCTTGCTTCCCAAGCTCCAGCAATTCCTGCTGGAGGCACATCACTGTCCCTCACTCTATGCCCCTCTCTCCTAGAAGAGGTTATTGCCCGTGAAGCAGAATCAGCAAAATTGGCAGGCTATCTGCTCTGGAGATACTCTAGGTCACAAAGTGAATATTAACTCTAATGACCATGAAACCCAGCATTATGTTTATATTACGAATCCCTCGAAGATGAGGAAGGGACATGTTCTCTCTTGTCGTTTCCACCACATGGGAGTGGTAACTTCCAGCAGAAGAAAGGTGTAACAGGAGGGAACATTAATCTTCTATTATTATTCAGGCATGAATTGCTGGCAGAATAACCTCAATTCTGTATGACTTCACACTTTAGGTGGGGAAATATGACCTTGCAACTGCTCACATTAACAAGCTTCTCTGTAAACAACAAACTTCACCAAACATTGTTTCTTGATGGTTTGTGACTTCAGTGCACAATTTTACCTACAGCAGTAACCCAATGTCTCACCTGCTCCCCTGTATGCTATGAAATGCACAAGCCAAAAGCCAGAGTTGTGCTTATTAGCCAAGCAGTAAATGCAACCAGGTGCTCGCTGGCCAGCTGCATAACACCTGTGCTTAGCCTTCCTCTTTTTCATGCATGTGTAACTGCTTTTTTTTTTTTTTCCCAAAAGTTGTATGAATTTAACCTTCCAAGATTCATACATATTTGCAAATATGATTAAGTAGGCCAGCATTTTCAAAAGTCCGTGAAGGTGGAAAGGATCAGTGGGAAAGGAAACACCCAATAGTGCAATTTCTTAATCCTCATTTCCTTAAAGAGATAAAAAGATTATTGTGCATAGTGTGATCTAGATAAGCCTCATAACATGATCTCTCCTTCTCAATTCACTACTGCTTTTACCAGCAATAATTTCACATTTTATTTGCAAACATTAGAATGTTGAGGAATACTGGACTAAAAGCATGTGCTGGAAATACCATCTATTTAGAATTAATTGCTTACATCTGTAAACTAGCTAGCTTTTAATCTATTTAATATCTGCAAGGTAGATTTTTGTACAGGAATAGTTTTCAGTCAGGAAGGCCTGCTGCATTTATTTCAAGGTTGACAGTGCATTTCTGGGACATTTACTACACGTTACCATGCTGGTTGGCAGTTTTACTACACCTTGCTCTGTTTACTGACAGTTATACCTTTTGTCAAACTCATGTGTAATCTCAATTCTGTGAAATGTTCCTACTTTTTTCAAAATGTTGCATGGACTGTTGAGTATGAAGGGCTGGCATTCCTGCTCTTTTTGTCTCGGATGTTGAACAAATGCAACATTTAACTCTGCTTATTTGGCACAAACGCTGCAAAAAGTTGGGGGCAGGTTCCCTGCTGCAATCCAGTTTGGGACACATCACACATCTTCCATCAGCAACACCAGTTCATCTGCAGACACCCTCTTTATTCCTCACACGTTGCCATCTCCTCAGTTTAATTGGGTGAAGCAAGTTTTCTCGGCTTTATGTAAATGCACAATGTAATTTTTAATTTCTCGCGATTTAGTTAAAGGCATAAAAACTGCCGTGCCCCCCGGCGTGCCAGGTTACCTGGTGGGCCTGCAGACCCGCTACCAGGGGGCAGCGGCCGTGCCCCGCGCACAGCCCGGGAGCCGCTCCAGCAGCGCCGGCCAGCCCCGCGCTCTGCAGGCCTGGCCTCTGAGGGCCGCCCCTCGCACACAACGGCGGAGCAGCCACGCCGCACCGGGACCGGGACCGGGACGGCAAATACTTCA